ACTGAGAACCTTCACCGGCATATTCTTCTATTATTGCTCGATTCCAAAGGGAAGCAGGAGTGGTGTGAGCTTACCAGAGGCATTGCAGCAGGATGCTGTCGGTGTACTGGAAGACCGGAGCAGCCAGAGAGGCAGCGACCAGGCAGAGTTGGATGGCTGTGTTGAACTGGACGGAAAGAAGAATAAAGCAGAGGAAAAAATGACTTCATTCCTACTGGTCTCCATTTAGAAAGGAACTGGTAGAACAATATGCGTGAAATATGCCCATAACATAAGCAGCTCCATGTTTCTGCCAGTGGCCTTTGTTTAATGTGTTTGAGTTTTCTCAGCAGTTGCAGCTTCCCCTCAGCTGGCGCCGCTATGGGAACTTACAGCCCTCATGTCACTTCCTGTTTCCTACATTTTCATCTGTCACTTCCTGTTAAAAGCCGCTCCTCCTCTGGATTGGATACTGGCCTGATGGTCCCACCAATCAAAGGAGAGCTGCTCCTATTTAAACCAGTACTCTCATATGGACTGGGCGGCTGTCTTTGCTTGAGCAGCTTGCCTCTTGCTGGATTGTTTATTGGTTTAAACTTAGAGCAACTTTGTAAAGCTGTGACACTTGGTTATGCTTATGCTGGTTGTGTTAGTGGGTTCCGTCCTGAAATGTCCAAGTGTTTTATTCCGAGTTCCTCCTTCTGTTTATCTAAGTGCTGATAGCGTCTGCAGCACCAGGGCTCAGTTTTGTTGCCTTCTGTCATTGTAGTTATTTTGAGTTTTAAGAACCTAAGATTATCTTTTTTTTTAATTGCATAATTTTATTCTTGGGACTCCTTTGGTCACCTCTCCCTAATGATGGTGAGATGAAGCCTCGCGAGGCTTTTAAACTGTTTGGCCAAAGTGCTTCAATGATCCCCACAGTTCATCAAGCTTCATTTGAACATGTCACCACCTACTGGTGAAAAGCAGAACTACAGTTAGTAATATAATCTGATTTTTTTGCAATTGTAGTTCTTTTTCTCCCCATTTAAGTTCCTTTGAAATTGTTAATGATTAGTATGTATAATAAAATCTTTTGTAAGCTTTTTTGTGTGTAAAATTTCTTAGAAGAGAAATGATTTAAGGTACACTGTTTTTTCTGCCATTTTAATGAAATAAGCTCAAGCAGACAGTGAAAGTGTTTGTCACATTGCACAATGATGAGCAAAATGAAAGGTGTTAATCATTTAAACATAATAGTTTTTCCATGGTTTTTGGTTTTAATCGGGCTGGAACTTATGACTAAACCAACCGATCTGGCAGTGTTTTTACCCAATCTATATGTGCACTAGGGCAAACCAATACAAGTTAAGGCCCATTCATACCTCACGTTTGGCCTGCACGTCCGTATTTCTGTCCGTACGTTCTATCCGTAGACTCCTTCATACCTCCGTCCGTTGAGGTGCGCAATAACCCGTATTTCCTCTAGGTG